CATGGAGAATGACAGTTGACTATTGAAAACTCAATCAGGTAGTCAATTGCAGCTGCTGTGCCAGATGTAGTGTCCATACTTGAGCAAATTAACACATTTCCTGGTACATGGTATGCAGCTATTTGATCTAGCAAATGACTTTTTCTTGGTACCTGTCCATAAGGACCACCAAAAGGAATTTTCTTTCAGTTGGTAAGGCCAGCAGTATAACTTTACAGTTTTGCCTCACAGATACGTTCTCTCCTGCCCTATGTCATAACTTAGTTACAAGGGATCTTGACCATCTGTCTCTTCAACAAAATAGCACATTGGTGCACTATGTTGACAACATTATTCTGATTGGACCAAGTGAGTAGGAAATAGCAAACACTTTGAACTCATTGGTAACACATATGCAAATCAGAAGATGAGAAATAAATCCAACCAAAATTCAAGGGTCTTCTACTTCACTGAAATTCTTGGGAGGCCAGTAGTATAATGCATGCAGAAATATTCCTTTCAAGAAAGAAGTGCAATGTTTAGTGGGCTTATTTACTTCTGGAGACAGCATATCCTTACTCGGGTGTGTTACTCTGGCCCATATACCAAGTGACATAGAAAGCTGTTAGCTTTGTGTGGGGCCTGGAACAGGAGAAAGCTCTTCAACAGGTCCAGGCTGCTGTGCAAGCTGCTCTACATACTACTTGGACCATATGATCCAGATTACCCGATGATATTTGAGGTAGCAATAGCAGAGAGGGATGCTGTTTGGAGCCTTTAGCAGGTCCATAGGTGAATCATAGAAGAGACCTTTGGGATTTTGGAGCAAGGCTCTGCCATCATCTGCAAACAACTATTCTCCACTTGAAATCTCTTGGCCTGCCATTGGGCCTTCGTGGAAACTGAACATTTGACAATTGGCCACAAAGTTATGCAGCCTGAGCTGCCCATCATGAACCAGATATTATGTGACCCACCAAGTCATAAAGTAGGATGATCACAGCAGCAATCTACTAACAAATAGAAATGGTATATTTATAGTTAGACCCAAGCAGATCCTGGAGGCACAGGCAAGTTACACAAAGAAATTGCCCAAATGCCTATAGTTTCTACTCTTACAATGCTGTCTACTGCCAAGCATGCACCTCATGAGGTATTCCCTATGATTGGTTGAGTGAGGGCCTAGTTTCCTGATGGTTCTGCACGTCATGCAGGTCCCACACACAGGTGAACAGCTGCAGCATGACAACCCTTTTCTGGGACAACACTGAAAGATACTAGTGAAGGGAAATCGCAGTGGGCAGTACACATGTCATACATTTTTTGGAAGGGGAAATGGACAGATATGAGTTTGATTTATGGGCAGTAGCCAATGGATTGGCTGGGTCGTCAGGGATATTGGAAAAGCATTGGTTGTCAGCACGATTGGAAAAGAGGTGAGAAAGATATCTAGGGAATAAGTATGTGAATAGGTTTCTCCAAATGGGTGAAGGACATGAAGATTTGTGTCCCATGTAAATGTTTATCAAAAGATAGTTTCAGCTGAGGAAAAGTTCAGAACATAATCACATAGATAGAATGACTCATTCCATGGACAGTCAGCCTCTTCCCCCAGACATTGTTATCATTGCCCAATGGGCCCATGAACAGAGTGGCCATGGTGGCAGAGATGGAAGTTATGCATAGTCTCAATAACAATGACTTCCGCTCACCAAGACTGACCTGGCTACAGCTACTGCTGAGTGCCAGATCTGCCAAGAGCAGAGACCACCCTGAGCCCCAGATGTGGCAGCATTGCCCGGGGGTGACCAGCCAGCAACCTGGTGGCAGGTTGACTACATTGGACCACTTCCTCCATGGAAAGGACAATACTTTGCCTTGCTTGAGTAGATACTTATTCTGGTTGTGGATTTGTTTTTTTACTGCACATAATGCTTCTGCCATAAAACCATCATCAGTGGACTAAGAGAATACCTTACCCACCATCATAATATTCCACCACTATAGTATTCCACCAGCATAGTAAGTACTGCTTCTGACCAAGGAACTCACTTCACAACCAGAGAAGGGCAACAGTTGGCTCATGATCATGGAATCCACTGGTCTTACCATGTTCCCCACCATCCTGAAGCAGCTGGCCAGATAGATAGATAGATAGATAGATAGATAGATAGATAGATAGATAGAAAGAAAGATAGATAGATAGATAGATAACATGGCCTTTTGAAGACACAGTTACCACACCAATTATATGCCAGCAGCTTGGAGAGGTGAAGCAGGGTTCTCCAAAAGGTGGTATATGCTTTGAATCAGCATCCAGAATTTGATATGGTTTCTCCCATAGCCAGGATCCATGGGTCTAGGAATCAGGGGGTGGAAAAGGGAATATAATTCCATTCAATATCACTCCTTAGTGACCCACTAGGAAAATTTTTCTGTCTATTCCCTCAACCTTAAGTTCTGCTATCCTAGAAGTTTTGGTTCCAATGATGGTGGTAGGGGGGGTCCTACCAGAAGCTACAACAAACACTCCATTAAAGTGTTGAACTGGAAGTTCAGGCTTGCCTGTGGCCACTTTGGGTTTCTAATGCCCTTAAACCAACAGGCTAAGAAAGGAGTAACAGTGAGCCAGGCCTGGTGGTGTACACCTTTAATCACAGTCATTGGGAGGCAGGGGTAGGGGGATCTTTGTGAGTTCAAGGCCAGTGTGGTCTACAAAGAGAGTTCCAGGACAGCCAGGGCTGTTACACGGGCAAACCCTGTCTCCAAAAAGAAAAAAGAAAGGAGTAATAGTGCTAGGTGGAGTGATTTATCCAGATTATTATGAGGAAATTGCATTGCTTCTCCAGAATGGAGGTAAGAAAGATTATGTCTAGAATGCAGGAGATCCTTTAGGGCATCTCTTGGTGCCACCATGCCCTGTGATTAAAGTCAATGGGAAACTACAACAGCCCAATCCTGGCACAATGTCAAAGGGCACAGACTCATCAGGAATGAAGGTGTGGGTCACTCCAGGAAGAAAGCTAAGACCTGTTGCAGTTCTTGCCTGAGAGTGGAGAAAATACAGAGTGGGTAGTAGAAGAAGGTATAGATGCCAGCTAAATCCACATGACATGTCATAGAAATGGATTGTAATTGGCATGAGTGTTTCTGTCATATTTTGTTAAGAATTCATTTGTAAAGATATTTGTGTTTTCTTTCCTCAATTACTTTATCATGTGCTGTAACATCAATTAAGAGTATCAGTGGTTATTATATTTAAGTTTGAGATAGCAAAAGAATGGGACATTGCCACCTATTCTAAATTTATAATGTATTTGTGGTTGTACAAGGGATAGTTATCTCATTTTAGGTATAATTATAATCTGGATAAATATATAACACATTTGTGATTATATGTGGGATAGTTATCTCATGTTAGGTGTTATTATGATCTAGTTATTCCTTCATCTGTAAATTAATCACAACATAAAGAGCTATGATTGTGTGTCAAGTTGAGAAAGAGTGGGCTTGTGATGGCTGTTCATAGTTGCCAACTTGACTACATCTAGAATGAACAAAAAAAACAAAAGTGGAGGGCACAATGTGAGGGATTTTTGCTTTATTTGAAGTAGAAAGATCTACTTCTAATCTGGATCTTTGAGATGGTAGGAAGACAACTCTTTAATCCAGATCATTTGATCTGGGAGACCCCACCTCCTCTAATCCTGGCCACACCTTCTGCTGGAAGCCTATCCAAGGACACAGAAGAAGGAAGCTTTTGCTGTTTGCTCTCTTGCTCTGGCCTTGCTAGCAAGTCCCTTCCTTCACTGGCATTAGAGCCTTTTCTTCTGGATTCCAGCATGTACTGAAGACCAACTGAGACATCCAGTCTCATGGACTGAGCAAACACTGGGCTCCTGGGTTCTCTGTTCACAGCAAGCCATTGTTAAGTTAGCTGAACCACAGTCTATAAGTCATTCTCTCTCTCTTGTCTCTCCCTCTCTCTCTCTCTCTCTCTCTCTCTCTCTGTGTGTGTGTGTGTGTGTGTATTCTACATATGTATATTCTATAAGTTCTATTACTCTAGAAAACCCTGACTGATACACCAACATAGTAGGATTTTGGTTTTTTAAGATAGCTCTGGCTGTCCTAGAATTGGTTTTTATGTCAGGGTAGCCTCAAACTCACAGAAAGCTACCTGCCTCTGCCTCCTGTGTGCTTGGATTAAACACATGCACCACCACCACCACCAGGCAACACAGTACATTTCATGTACATTTTATTTATTTATTCATTTATTTTTTTGTGTGTGTGTGTATGACTGTTTTGCCTGCATATATATGTGCACCACAAGCATGCAGTACCTGAAGAGGCCAGAAGAAGGTATCAGATCTTTTGTTACTAGAGTTACAGATGGTGGCTGCCATGAGGATGCCAGGAAGCAAACCTGGGAGGATGAGAGACAGGGCTTCTCTGTGTAACAGCTCTGGTTGTCCTGGAAGTCACTCTGAAGACTAGGCTGGCCCCAAACTCAGGGAGATCTGCCTGCCTCTGCCTCCTGAGTGCTGGGAATAAAGGCGTGAGCCACCCACCCCTGGTGGATAAGTGCTCTTAACCACTGAGCCATCTCTCATACCCTTTATGCATTTCCTAAGAGCCCTAAGCTATGTAAACTTCAGGCACCTGAAGATCTCAATCTGCCTTCACGTAAGGACATAGCTACTCTTCCTTGCTCTGTATTCCTGCTGCCATACACCCCAGAATGTCTCCTGTGCTCATGCCCTACACATGGCTTTGAATAAAAAATTCCCCTCCCTTGTTCTGTGTAGGATCTTAGTGAGGCTGGAAGCAGGGAAAAGAAGGGAAGCTTGACACCTGGCCAGCCCAGAAGCCATCCCATTACAGGCCTCATTGCATGGAACCCATATGCCCTGGGGATCTATGGGATCATCCTGCGGAAAGTAGAGGGCGCTATAAGGAGGTATTGACCACTTGGTGCTATACCTGTTTCTTGTCTGCTTCTCCTTCCTATACCCTAGGCTATGTGACATCCATCTTGGGTAGAAGGAGACCTCTGCCAAGGATCCGTGCACAGGACCAGAAGCTTCAGGCACAAGCAGAGCGACAGGCAGTAAACTTTGTGGTACAAGGTACTAGAGCCCCTAGCCTACCACTGCATGTGGCTCCTTCCCTTAAGGCCCATGTCACCTGCTCCTCAGGTGTTTGACAGATTGCTGTGGTACTTCATGCTCAATATGAAGCCTTATAACCCTCACCTGTCCTGCTTGACAGGTATTACAGCTGCTGATGTGGTGGCATGGCCATCTTTATGGTTAAGCCATTTTTGGAAGGACATGGTGAGGCATGACTGCAATATTAACCCTTGGAAGGCTAAAAAAAAAAAAAATGAAGCCATCCTAAGCTACATAGCCAGACCTATTTAGAGAAAAAAAAAAAGAAAGAAAGAAAGAAAGAAAGGAAAGAAAAGAAAAAGTTGGCCTCCCCAGGACCCATGGAGATCATTCTGTTCCCCTCTAAAAGTAGGAACCTGAGTCCCCAGGAGCGTCACCAACAACAGAGGTAGTCCTAGAAATGGGTTGCTTGACATAGGCTGGGACCCCTTTATCACACCCTGAGTATCTTGCTGGCTTCCTCAGTGAGACATCCAAACCACACCCTCCAGCACTGAGAAGGAAGCAGCTCTGTTGCATTATTGACTTCCAGTTGCAAAACTCCTTCATTGTTAGCCAGTGGAGTGAGCAGTGTCCAATGGGAAATGTCTCTACAGCTCAGGCACTGTGTGTCACACGCCTCAGGCCCTAAAACAGAACCCTGTGTCCACAGGTTCAGCCGCAGACCTCTGCAAGCTAGCCATGATCCGCATCTTTGCTGCAGTGGCCGCGTCCCCAACCCTGACAGCCAGGTCAGTGAAGTAGTAATTTTTTCAGGGCCAAGCCTTGAACTTCTGCCAGCGAGGTTTGTTGGGTGCCAAAATGGCATTGCTCCTTCTACCCACCACATGTTTTCCCATCCTATCCTAAGGACCTGAAGCTCCTCCCATGGGCCTACACACCGGGGTTCCCATATCACTGCCTAAGTGGGTCAGCAACCTCTAGTCCTGGAAGGAAATCACCAGGAAGATGACAGTTTCCCTAGATCTTAAAATGTGAAATGGGCCCCATGGGCCCCTGTGCCGCAGCCATAAGAGGGCTTTAGGGACATGGGAACCTGCTTGCCTATGGGGATTTCTCACCAAGCTTAGTTTTCTCTTGGCCTGTAATATAATTCATGCTGAAGGCAGAAGTTTTCCTTTATCAGAAACCTCTTGTCTTTCTTTCAAAACCTTATTTCTTCAAACATTTTCCCCTATCCACCTTTACCTTTTACCAGTGTTCTTGGGTGGTTTCACACCTCTGAACAGGAATATGCTCTGTGGATTGGTATCACACAGAGCCAGGGGCAGGGGGCTCAGCTCCAAGCCTTATTGTCTACTACCTTTTGCAGCCCTGTTCCAGGCACTTTCCTACTAAAAAGAACTAGGTTTGGAAGCTGCAAACCCTCTGGGAAGAATACCAGAGGAAGGTGCAGAGACTATAGCTAAGCCCTGCCCTGAATATGCCCAAGAGTTGGGAGCAGACTGGGTAGAGCTGGGCCCAGCTGGTTTCTCCTATCACCCCTCACTGTCTTCTGCCTAGTACTCCCAATGATGTCCTCCCAGCTCCCTGGACATCTGCCCACTCCCACTGTTTCTGGGATAACCTCTTGCTTGGGCTGTGTTGGCCCATCCTGGCAGCTGCTGGAAGCACATGGCACTCTGCATCTGTCACATGCAAAGCCAGCTAGTTGCTTCTCTGTTGCTGTTTTTGGAATTGGCAGAAAGATGTTGGCATATTAGGGTCTCCTTGGTGGCAATGTCTTTCCAAAGAGTAAGCACAGAAAATCTAACTCAGGGATACGGAGAAAAGGAAACTGAGGCAATTAGCAGCATGCACCTTGTCCAAGCTCAGACAGAGCCAAGCTAGGGCTGGCGTCCTCCTAGGACTTCAGAGTCTCCTATCTTGTCCACTACACAATGCTCTTCTAAGAGGAAGCCACAAAGAATTCAGCATGTCTAGGGTGCTCCATAGACAGAGCTGTCTGGCAGGCTATTGGCAAAGGGATGAGGTTAGGCCCTTCTGGAAAGTTCTCTCAAAGGGACAAGATTTGTCTGCCTGTCAGGCCAACCAGATGCAAATACAGTAGCTCTGCCTCCTATGGTGGCATGGCCCCTGGGAGCCTGGCTGGTCTAAGCCTGCATTCTCCTGCTTATCCCTGTGCCCCAGCTTCCAGTAAGTGTGATGTCTCTGTGGCTGTGATGGTGATGTGTGAGTGACTAACAGTCACATCTATTAGGTCCTGACACACTGGCAGCTCAGATTGCATGGTGTGATTTCAAGAAGTGTGAAAGCACTTCTGCTAAATCTGGAAAGAGTTGCAAGTGCCTCTTCTGAGGTTCCCGTCCATTAGAAAAGTAAACCCCTTGGGAGCCAAGGCCTACCAGACACCTTGGTATTAGTTTAAGAAAATGTGTCAGTGCTACGGCTTAATACCTGCCTTGTCCTGCCACAGTCTGGCTTATGGGAGGGCAGTGCTGATGCCCTAGCCAGAGGCAGTACATAAAACACAAGGGCACCCCTCTATGAATGTCTCTTGAGAATGTGTACTCCACTGTTCCAGAATCTGGGCTCAGCGTGATAATGTCCATTGCCCGCACAGTCTCTAGTAACAATGGCCTGGCTACAGTAGCCTGAGCGCAAAAAGGTTTATCATTTTCCTGCCAAGGCATAGAGGTTGCTGACTTTGTTTTAGAAGCTCAGTCCCGTTCCCCTTGGTATCCTGATAGAGGTAGTTGCTCTGATCATCACAACACCTTACAGGCAAGAGAAGGTAGTGATGGTCAAGGCAACCTTCCTGGGAGTTGGAGAAAAGACGACTTCCAAGTCATCCCATCTTAGAGATGATGGTGTGTATGCTGGGGACATAGTCTGTTCTCTTCCCCACCCAATAACAAAATGGTGACAGAGGAGAAGACAGATGGACAGGTCACCAAAGAACTCTGTTGTCAAGTGCCATCACAGCCACTCTGGTCATGTATTGGAATGAAGGCTTTTCTTTTCTTCCAGCCAGGGTTCACCATCTGATCCATTATCCATGCTGGGGTGTGGGGGGAGCCACAATTTCCCTGTGAAGCCTCAGCCACCAGTGCCACAAGGGAAACCAGGGCAAACAGCAGTGGGGACATATTGCCCTTCAGAATCCCATCCAGGAGACAGAGCAAAGATCATGGAGGAGCACACATGGGATCCCTCTGTGCCTTCTACCCTTTCCTGGAGACTGTAGGTCCTTGTGACCATCCTTGTTGCCAGTACTATACACTCCATCTCTGACAGTGCAGGACCAGCTGCCCCTGTGTACCCACAAAGGTGCTGGCACCAGGTCGGGGGACTACACATCTGTAAGGATTTTAAAGTGTCATCTCCCTGGGGATCTTGGCCACCAGGACCCCACTCTCCAAGGAGCCTGTGGGTTTGTGTCAAGCTGTCGCATGTACTGACATATATCTATGGGTTGAGTTCTCCACGCCTCATTGTGTGTACGTCTGTCATGTTCCCCACTCACCCAGTTGAATCTGTTTGTCCTGCGCAACACACTTCCTAACAGAGCACTGCTTTCTAGATTCCTCTTCCCATTGATGCTGGAAGGGGCTCAAGGGGCCATACTGCTAGAGAAATGGGACATGAGTGGTCCATGAAGCCAAGTTCAACTGGAACTGTGGTTTAGTGCCCCAAAGTACATGTTCAATCCTGTATGGGTCATCCAAAATATCCCATATCTGATGTGATTTTGTACTTTGAACTTTTACATTTTCCAAGTTCTATTGGATATTTATATGACTTTAAACGCAAATCTTAAAAAATATTGCCCAGTCACTTCCTCTGAGCTGAAAAGTATGTGCCCACTACATTCTCGATTTAGCCTCCCCCCTCACAGCTGGAGTACCTCTCCTGCCGCATCTCTGCTCATCATCACATCTCACGTACAGTGAAGAGTAGGGACATGAAGGGGTCACATGTGCTCTGCTCCTAAGAAGTTCGTCCTCTACCCTGCCAGTTTTCCTTGAGTGTCAAATGCTCAGCCTGCTCGGGGGCTGGACAGCTCCCCAAAGGCAAGTTTATCCCTCTCACCTGGCTTCTTCTACCCACTCCCTGGAGCTGTCCTGATGGTAAGCAACCCCAGGCCTCCATGCCAGAATGGCCATATGTACTCCACACATAGCCACATTCTTTAATAAACCAAATGCCAAACAACCTACTGGGAACTGTGAATGATAACCCTAGGTCCCATGTGGACGTATCCACACCCACAAGTGTCTTCCTTCCTCTCCAGGTTAGTTGCCCAAATTCATGATGAGCTGCTGTTCGAAGTGGAAGATGCTCAGATCCCTGAGTTTGCAGGTGCGTCCAGGGAGCGTAAGGGATAGTGTAACCCATCAGGAAATTGGCCCTCTCTTTGAAGCTGCTCCCCCTCTTTCCTTCAAGCTAGCTGGCAGCTAGTGTGGTGACCCTGAATAGCCATGAAGCTTCTGTACACAGACATCCATGGCCAAGCTTCCACTCAGGGCAGTGTAGAGAGATGATGACACAGGCTCCCAGGATAGACCACACTGTCAGGACCACAGAGCTATGTCTTCAGAGGATGACAAGAGCATCAGACTATTGCCAGAAACATCAGGGACTGTGCTTTTCCATGCCCAGACTATTTTGAATGGGAAGGATAACCTCGTGCCTCCTACTAGCCCTAGCACCATAGCCAGAACTAATGGTATGGGCACAGTGCCTACCCACCTCAGCTGGCCTGCCTCTGCTGGGAAGAGCTGGGGTGGAAAGATGGAGCCAGCTCAGTCAGTACAGTGACAAGAAGTGTGGGCTGAGGGTCCTTGAAGTTGCATCCTGAGCCATGGATGTGGACACTGGGTGTTGAACCAGATTTGAAGTTATATGACCAGTTGGATGGGGTGGCTTGTACACCCAAGAAATAGCAAGGTAACTTTGATCAGGCAGGACTGAGCCTGAACCTTCCTCAGTACTCAACTCTGGGGCCTGGAAGCCAGAAGGCTGTCCAGACCCAGACCTACACAGCTGTAAGTAGCTGTTTCCTGTTCTAGCTCTAGTCAGAAGGATCATGGAGTCCTTGCGACAGGTGCAGAGCCTGGACCTACAGCTACAGGTGAGGAGAGACACATCTGCCCAGCATCACTGCCATATCACTCATAGCTGGAGTCAACCCAGAGGTCAGGAGGCATGGAACAAGGCAAGCTCCAGCCTTGTGCACCAGGGCCACCACCCTCCAAGCCTTCACTTGTCCCTCCCCTGCTGAGGAATCCTTTCCCTACTAGATGACTTGTTGGTTTCTGGTAAGAAGCCACCACCATGGATATCTACTGCTGCTCTACCAGTCTCTGGCTAAACCCTTTCCCTGAGGCTCATCCTTGCTGAGGGTGTGGACACTGGGCCCCACATACCCCAAGTACACCCCAGGTATGTCTAAACACAGGCCCACTCTGCACCTGGCTGAACACTGCTTGGAAGCAGCTCTGGATTCCTGCCAGGGAAAGACCCCCAGGTACTTTAACACAGTCTCCCCAGAACAGTATGGATAACTGGGCAGAGAGTAATAAGGTGGGAGGCCTTGAAGCCTGCAGAGCCACCCAGATGATACCAGCAACACATCTTGTCACTCAGTAAAGTATCCAGCCCTGTGGGCACCTCAGAACCAACCAGAGCCACAGAAGTGGCTGACCACCTTCTGGAGCAGCCTTGGCTTTGCTCACAGGCTCTGAGGCCTTCCTGGGAAAGGCTTTGAGCTGTTAGACCCCCTGCTGCACACCAGAGCATTGTGCACCTCTGGACAGGTGGCAGCTCTGCACGATTAAGGAGCAACACATGTTTTTACCCACTTGGTGGCAGGACCTCTACCCCCTGAGGTAGTCTACAAAACCTATGCCTGGGTTAGGCAAAGAACTAGGTGCTAGGGGAGGAGCTTGAAGCCCAGGAAACTAAACTAAGCTGCCATTAGAGGGCCCTCATGAGGCAGAAAACCATGGGAAACAGCTGGGGGCCAGCTCCTTCTTCAGACACAGTGGCTTTGTCTAGTGCCTCGGGGAAAAGTCCACTCAAGTCATCTGCCCCCTAGCATCTCTCCAAGATAAGCCCTGACAGAGTGAGCACATGTTGCGCTAAGACATTCCTATCCTAAGGCACAATGCCTGGGAGCCCTGTAGACCTACGCACTTCCTGAGGCCTGGTAGGTAGGTGCATGTGAGCACGCAACAAAGCAAATGTGAGTACACACGTATGTCTATGTGTATGCCTGTGAATGTGGCTGCTCTCTGTGTGTCTGTCTCCCTGTGAATTGCTAGCTCCTTAACCTGCATGAGGGCCTGGGAGGTAGCTGAGTTTCTCTTTGAAGGTCATTTCTGGTTTTCACCCCACAGGTGCCCCTAAAGGTGAATTTGAGTGTTGGCCGCTCATGGGGACACCTGGCCCCATTGTAGGAGACTCTGGACTCATCCTGAGCCACAGCAAATCTCCCTGCCAGTTACCAATGAGGTCCCTCTTCAGTACCTACCCCAACCAACTACATTTTTTCATCTTAAGTTTGTCTGTAGCCCTGGACAACAGAGGGAGGAGATGGTTGGTTTCCAGCAGTCCACCCTGCAGCCTTTCCCCAGGTCCTCAGCTTGCACTCTGAGTGCCAGACTCATGCAGGCCGCGTTGACCCTTTGTGGAACAACTGGGTCACTACCTGAAGTAAATACCTAATATGAAGCTGTCATCTCCTTGTCTGAGGGAATTCTTCCTATGGGTGCACACATGTACAATGTTCACTCTGCTCAGAGGCTGCCTGGGAAGCCTCAGCCCAACTTGGCCCTCGATGAATGTCCACTCAGGCCCCAGTCTTACCTGTTCCAAATATGAGCCAGGATGGAGCCTGCCCAGTAAGGGAGCATGGGCACCACAAGGTTTCAGATAAAAAGGCCCAGCTCCGTGTCAGGCAGCCCCCTGGCTGTGTTTCACTTAAGATGTCTCAGAGATGGGCTTTGTCATGTCACCCAAACCCAGGAAGAGATCACCAACTCCCTCCTGCTGTCTGAGAAAGGCATTCCCTGACCATGCCATGTTCACATTCCTCCTGGCTTCTGGGCAGGAAACAAGGGAGGAATGTTATGCAGTGGCTGGGCTCAGTGTCTGAGTTTTGGGAACCCTCCCTCAGCCCCCAGCCCCCAGCCCCCCTACTGACAAGGCTGGCTGGTATCCTGCACCTGGGTCTGATAGGAAATGTGTCTTCATTCACCACAATGTCTATACCCCTTAACCTGGCCAACACTGATACCTTCTTAAATCAAAATCTCAAATCATCTCTAAGATGCTTGTACCCACAAGACAGGTAGACAAGTAGCAGGAGCCATGGCCCATGGTGGAACCACCCAGCAGGAGGCTGCCAGCACCATCAGGGTCCAGAAGAGCCCCTCAGGAGAAAAGGGAAGCTCTTCATGATCCAGCCCCCATAAGCCCAGGAGTCAGCCTTGTAAATATCTACCACATTTAGGAAAGTGTGGAGGGCGACAGAGCCCCTAACCATCCTTGTCCAAAGAGGAATCTGGGCACCTCTTCCCCGGTAGGGGAAGAGAGCATCATGGGCAGTTGGACTTGATACCAGTAGGGGAAGGGGCCGCTCCCTGGCAGGGACCCCAAGGCACTCCCTCCCCCTCACTGGGTCCATTCCTGCTCCAGGATGCAGCTCAGGCAAACAGGCAGAAACAGCCCAGACAGTGGGAAGCCCAGGGCATCCACCCCAGCAGGTGCCTCAAAAAAGCACAGAGCCGGATTCCTTCAATTCTGATTTTATTGAAAAACAGCAGCATCGGGGGCCGTGCAGGCAGGGGCACACACCCACTTGGGCCCCCAGCCTGTCTTCTTGGGAACTCGGCTCGTCACCTGGCCCTAGGGGCTATTTTGGCACATCCTGGGGTCTCAGGACACCCCCACCCCCATCATGGGCTCACAGTACAAATTCAGGAACAAACCACGAGAGCGAGATCTACCACTGTGTCACACCTTCTGCACCCTGACCAAACCCAGTCTGTGTCCTGTCCAAGGGACCTCCAGCTCCTCCACACTGCCCTCAGCTGAGGGAGAGATGGACGGAAGTGAGGGCCGGCAGAGGCTCAGCTGTCTGTCCTGGTGGGGTTGTGCTACATTCACGTGGAGCTGGGCAGGCCAGGGGAGGGAACAGGCACAGCGAGAGACAACCACAAGACCCTGCTTCTTACCACACAAAGCACCTTCCAGATCAGACTGTCCCTACTGGTTCCCTCCCACTGCTGCACATGTGCACATACAAACACACATGCACACACATCCATACACGTATGGAGATGCCCACACATACACACATGCACACACAAATACTCACACATGCAACACATGAATGTGATTTCTTGGGCACATATAGTCAAATTAGCACATGATTACAAATGGCATGTGCTTGTGCACACACACATATTCATACAGATGGTCACGAATGCATACACACTCTCCAATGCACATGCTCACACATGTGTACACAGATGCACATACACAGATAGGTATGCACATTTATGCAGATACACCCCTTCTTTGAAATGGCTAATTATTGCTGTTTGTTTTTTTTTTTTTTTTTTTTTTAATACATCCAACAGTGGTAAGTCAAGGCTCATCTTCTACCCAGACCAGGTAAGCTCTACCCACCTTCCGAGGACCCCACCCCTGCTGGAAGCACAGTGACGGCAGCACCAAAGAGCAGCATAGCCCAGGGTCTGCCCCATACCCAGCAGTGTGGCCAAGGGCAGGACCTGCTGCGAGCAGGACAGGGAGCCACAGGCACACGCAGCACCAGTGCTACCAGGGAGGGAGACACAACCACCTCGGGTCAGCTCTCTCAGGCCGCCCCAGGGTCCCGGACAGGAAGGTAGCCTCGGGGTGCTACACAGCTCCTACCCAGCTAGGAAGCCATACCCAGCACCAAGAAGCCCCAGGCACCAGCGAGACCCAAAAACTTTTGTCCCAGGGCCTCCAGCCACAGGCACAGCCATGGAAGCCAGCTCCAGGAAGCTGTGACTGCGGGGCCATCTGGGGCTGGCAGAGGAAAGTGGGAATGGGAAGAGGACCTTCCAGCAGCAAGTGAGGGTACTGTGTCTTAAAGAGGCCCAGACTAGGTGTGTCCCTGCCTATGCTCTGACCTGTACCCTACTCTGACGAAGGGCACCAGTGCAGGATGGCAACTGTCCAAGCCCGAGACCAGCCTGTTACCCACAGGGCCCCCCAGCCAGAGCCTTCTCCCAGACCCGGCCATCTACCGCCTCAGCCATGTTAGCACATCCCTCAGCTGCCGCCCAGCCCCAGGGCGAGCACATGGGTGGGAGCAGAATAGGGGAGAGGTTGCCAGGGCTTGGCCTCACTACACTCAGGGGTGTGCCACCCCACCCTTCGGGGGCCAGAGCTTAGCACATGCAGGCCAGCCTCCTGGCTATACAGCAGAGACACATGCCTGGGCAGTGTCTTCCAGGGAACGGTCAAGCAATGATACACCAGGTCTAAGCTGTAGGTGCACTCCACCCTCCCTACTCTAAAACAGAGACTACCAAGCAAACAGGACTCTGGAAGCCACAGATCCTGAGCACAGGGCCAGACCTCACGCTGGCCTTCCCTGGACCTTTCCAGGCCTGGAGTACAGGTGCTGGCCACCTCAGGTGCTTAGAGGCCCGAGGAAGGGGGAGATGGCCAGCAAACTCAGAGGAGCTTCACCAAGCACATGGCCATCAGGTAGAGCAGGGAGGAGGGCCTCCATAGAGGTAGAAGAAACATCAGAATCCCGACAAACAGAAAATTCACATCAGTGCACATGTGCAGAGCACATACAGCCCTGGCTGGGATGAAGTAGACAGGGCCAGGCTCAGTCATGAGCATGCTCAGCTCCCCTGCAGCCCAGGGAGACAGATATACCTACAGAGCCTCAGGCCCTGCCAAGCTACGTCCTGCCTGGTGGAGTTCCATCCTGATGCAGCTGGAACCTACCCCACCACCCATTCCTGGAATCTCTACCAAGTCTTGGCAGCAACGGAAGGCAGATAAGGAATAATCAAGAGCCCAGCAAGCTTCCCTTTACCCATGGGCTGTTTCAGCAGGAAGAGATCCCCTTGGGCAGACAGGTACCAATAGGCCAGAAGGGCCACACCTTTCCCCCAGGCTCCTAGGATGGGGGAATCTACTATGAGCTCACTCACCCCAGGTCAGCATCAAGGAGACATGGGTGGCTGTGGGATCCCCAGGCTCTGCCCTGGCCCAAGTGATCCCAGTGTCCTTCCAATCCCAAAGACTACAGGCTCCAAAGGCACAGGATCAGACAAGTTTTGGCAGCCGGTGGTGTTCGGCAGACCTGGCTCCCACTTAGGCCCACCCAGGCCTCTGACCCCCCCCCCAGCCTCAGACACCAGCAGTCCCTATACCCCCAGAGCAAGTAAGACTAGCCCCGAGCCGAGACCAATCCAAACAGAAAAGAGGAAAAAGGCACAACTGTTTGTTTTCCATTTTGCTAAAACACTTTACGTCTGTCTGTATAATCCAGATTAACAAAATCTGAGAGCTGCAAGAAAATAGGGTGCCAATTTCTGTACAGTCTACAAAACTCCCATCCCCAAGTGGGGATCGGGCACCACCAGGGAGGAATGTACAGGGGAGAATGGGGTCTGTACAGTGTTCTGCAAATGCCTCAATTGCTAACAGGACAAAAGGCCCCTCAGGAAGCTGGGCTTTCTTCCACCAATTCACTCTAAGCAGCCTTTTTAAAAATGTAGCCTTGGTGCCAGGGGCCCAGCTCTATGGCCTACCCGGCCTGCCACTCCTTGTCCCCAAGCCCCACAGAGGGTGTGCATGGGTTTCTACGCCCCACCCCAGGTTTCAGCTGGCCACATAAGCATCGCCAGTCACTGCCTTCCTTTCCCTGTCCCAAGCCACCCTCCTTCCATCCAGGCTGGACCCCTAAGTGGAACCTCAAAAAGGAGAGGCCAGAAGCACAATTGGCCCAGCAAAGTAGTGTATGGTGATACAGCTAGACCCACTCCAACCAGCAGATCCCACCCACAAGGCAATGCCCAGCTCTTCCTATGAGGTTTTAGGACCCTCCAGTCCCTTCAGTCCTACACACAGGGATTCAAGGGGCAGCCTGAGGCCTCACAGACCAGGAATGCATTTGGGGGAGGTCACACTAATTAGTCTCCTTCCCTACTGCACACTGAAACCTTCTACCTACCTAGTCACCCACCCCCATCAAATGGGGCCAGAGACGGTGCTATGCTAGCACCACACAGATGTGTCTGGAAGCTCGAACTACCATTTTGTCCCAGGAATTAAAGTCATGCAGAGTGCTATTCTGTCTACGTAACTTATTAGACAATGGGTTGTTTCAGGCTGCAAGAAGCTGTGGCAGGCATTGCCAACAACAGCCTGAGCTAGTTACATTCACAGGGCAAATCCCACAAACAGCGTGAGGCCAGTGCCTCAGGCAGCTGGGAGGGGGCCACCTGATCTAACAGGTGTTGGGGGAGGTGTCCCCCCACCCCCATGAAATCCCCACCATGCTGTGCAGTGGATTGCTACAGGAACCAAACCCGGGTGACCATGTCAGCCAGAGCAAGGAGGCACAGGGACCAAAAAGGGAAAGAGGTAAGATGATTTGTAAGCAAAGCAGGAACGGAGAGAGCCAGGTTAGGCCAGGCCAGGCCCCACCAGAGAGCAGACAGGGTCAGGCAGGTAGGCCCTCCAGAGGCCAGCTCAGGGCAGGACAGGGGAGCTCACCACCTCGGGCCTGAGGTCCAGGCTAGGCAGGGCAGCGGGGCAGGGGGCTGTGGCATGCAGCATGCTGCAGCCAGGCCATGTCCTCAGCATGCACAGGGCAAAGCAGGGCCCGGGGCCAGCTTAGCCTCCCACAGGGCACTGGCTGGCCAGCCCAGCAGGCCACTCTTCCAGAGGCCCACGGCTGAGCCTTAGCCTGGCTGGGGGCCAGGGGTCTGCTCCTTGGGGGGCTGGTTGTAGAGGTTCTGTGCTTGAGGGGCAAGGCTAGTCCTTCCCTGATAGAGGCAGGCTGGGCAGCTTTGTGGATAGTCCAGGTGGTCCACAATGCTACTCTTCAAGGCATGACGAGCCACTCTGATGCGCTGGGGAGGCAAGGGCTGTGGCTGCAGACAATCCACCCCAGAGTGTTGCAGATGAGCAACACCCTGTGGCCCCCAGAACCAGCCAGGCGATGAACCAGCATGACGCTGAAAAAGGAAAACCCAAACTAACGCCAAGGTGAGCATTGAAAAGCAGGGCCGCACTGGGCAGCGAGCAGGAGGGCAGAGGTGAACGGGGGCAGACAGGGTGGTGTGCAGGTGGTGGTGGTCACTCTTCGCGTAGCTGCAGGCGGTAGCGGTGGTAGCGAACCTGGAAGAAGAGGCGCTCGGCCAGCGAGAGGGTCATGCCAGGCAGCACGTAGTGATCATTTGCGCCCATGTGTCTGAAGCCCAGTGACTCATAGAGCTTGTGGGCAGCCACCTTAACAGCTGTGGTGCCCAGTACCACTGCAGAGTAGTTGTGCAACATGGCAAACTCCAGCACCCTCCGGCCCAGAGCCTTGGCGATGCCTTTGCCGCGGAAGCGTGAGTCCACGGACATGCGGAGCAGCTCCACCGTGTTGTCCTCCTCATGGGCCCGTGCAGCCACGATGCCCACAACGTTGCCATCCAACACAGCCACCCAGAAACAGGAACCTATGAAGGACATGACAGTCAGGGACATGCATAGAAGTTTGGAGAGACTTCACAACTGCCCATTCCAGCCAGGCACCAAGTCGGGGTATCACAGTGATGCCCAATCCTCCAGTACCCTGGCCCTTTCTTTCAGCTTTTCTGAACATTATGAGAGGCCATAATTCAGGATAAACAGGTAAGCTACCTTCTCCAGACCCCCATGAGCAGCAAAAACATTCCAACAGCCTTAGTCCAGGCTACCCTGCCCAACTTTGCATGACTGGATCCCACCACACAAACAGACACAATCAGCTCCAGCCTGAGTCTATTCTGTCCTGGCCAGAATAGTAGTTGAGAGAGAGGTACCTAGGAGTTGGGCAGGCCTTGACGAAGCAGAATCCTACCCCAAGACCTCCTAAAAAAAACACAGGCAACCACAGCCAAAGCCTCAGAACCAGCTGACCTAACCAGAATCCCAACCCAGGCCTGCCATCCTCCTCCTCCAGGATCCTTGCAGGGATAGAACTGAGTGAGAAGCCAGAAGAATGTTTTATAAATACCAGTGAGACCACAGACAGCCAGACACCCCCAAGCACCAGAGACCCAGCCTCTACAGGACAATGAGCCTGGTGACCAGGCCAGCCCTCTCCACTTATAGCAAAGCCAATCAAAGCCTCTCTCCTACAAGGGGAAAGGAGGGAATAAGGAGTTGGGACGGGAAGGATGCTGAGGGGCACAGGCCACTGGGAACCCAGTCACCTTTCGGAACCAGAGGTTCACAGTCAAGGGAATACCCCGACACTTTTCTGAAAGACAAAGGCTGAGGGACAGTAGGGAAGAACATCTGGCTGGCCAAGAGATGGCCTTCCCTCAAAGGACCAAACTTCCCCAAAGGCTCTGCCCCCACTAGGCAGTAGGACGCCCCATACCGTCACTTCTCACACCCTGGGAGCTCAGGGGAGCCCAGCTCCTTCAGTGCAGGCTCTGAGCTCCGTAGCTGAGGGTGCTGTCAGCCCAACCTCCAACAGTGTAGCAGAGAAAGTGACAGCTTAGGGGCCCTCATCTCAGAACCTCTAGGACTCTCCTGACCCTAAGGGGAGCTCACTCTTACCAACTACCCCACTCCCACCCACACAAGCCAGACCAGAGGTCAGGACAGCCTCCAGCAGTGAGTGCTGTCACTCTCCCCAGGCCTGGTTTCCCCATTTGCATGAGAACTCTCATAAATCCACACAGCCCCCATTATCTGCTGTCCAACATTGGCTCTTGTGGGGTCCTATAAGCCCAGCAGATGCCCAAGGGTTAGCAAAGATTGCTACACTCCAACCCCTGGGGGGGGGGGGGACTACAGCTCAGAGCACACAAGACCTCTGGCCACACCCATGCCATCTACCCAAGCTGACCTCAGCCACTTTCCCCTTCTCTTCCCAAGCAATGCCAGGTAGGTGGAGGGTCCCACAGAGGCCAGGAAGCTGAACTTGAATGTGAGGAAGGGCCAAGAACAGCAGGCACCAAGGTCAGCTGGGCAGAAGTTTGGGATATAAGATGGGACAGCTGAGGAGGGGCTGGCAAAAGCTACAGCTAGCAGAACAGAAGGCTGCCATTCCCTGAAACAGACCCAACTCCTGCTGGCCAGTTCCCTACCTTCAGCCCCTGACATCCCAAGTGTCTCTCCTCTGGTTCCCAAGATCCATCCTGCTTCGTACGGGGCTTGCTTAGGGGAGAGGCCAGTCTCCAGCCTTCCTCTACAGAAAGCCCTGAGATCTGATGTAATACCTTATTGTAAATAGAGTTCTTTCTGGGGGGGAGGGGGTTCCGAGACAGGGTTTCTCTGTGTAGCTTTGGAGCCTGTCCTGGAACTTGCTCTGTAAACCAGACTGGCCTCAAACTCACAGATATCCGCCTGCCTCTCTGCCTCTGCTGGGATTAAAGGCGTGCACCACCAACGCCCGGCTTCTTAATAGGTCTAAATAATATATCATCATCACACCTTATGGTGCACTAGATCAGGATGTCAAGGATAAGGTTAGAACCCCTGCCCACTCTGCTCCCTGGGACCTCCCGTATGCCATACACAGTATTCCTCCATTCAAGGCACTCTGGGCTAGCTCAGGATCCAGCCAGGACTTAACTCCCTAATTCTCATACACAAGAAAAGGTGTCCGACGGTGGGCACAATGGAGCTAGACCACCAAGGAGAGGACTTGGCTGTGGCCGACCCAGCTGACACTCCACACTTAGAAACCTCAATCATCCAGAAGGCTCAGAACATTAGGATCCCCCAGCCCAGGCCCTCCTGTACCTGAAGAAGAGAGAGGGAGTGGGCAGAGCTGGAATTCCAGAACTCACCAGGTGGCTTCATGTAGTACTGCTCAATGTCAGCCATGTCCGTGTGTAGTGCACACTCCAGGTAGGCCAGAATCACCTTTCGACTGTAGTAGTAACGCAGGGCCAGGAGCCCGGCTGGCACCAGGCATGTCAGCAGCAGTGAGCGGGTCACAGCAAAACAGAGGGCTGCAGGCGAGGGGGCACAGGTGAGGCGTCAGGTGCAGAGAGGCCAGGCTGGCCACGGGTGGGCCCCACAGCACCCAGAGCCCAAACCGCCTTGGTACAGCAGTGCTTAGGGCTCGCCCCACCGGGGAGTGTTTTTCTGTGTAGGAGCAGTCATGGCCGCAGCCCCTCTCTATGCTTCCTCATTGCCAAGCTTTCTGGCATAAACACCTGCTACCTTCACAACCTGAAACACAGGTCCACAAAACAGCCTAGGCCAGGCCCGCGCTGGTCAGCCCTCGGTGCTCCAGTTTCCAAAAGGACTCTTGCCTACTCCTCCTAGCCTGGTGCTAAGTCAGAGCTGGACCTAACCAAACAGGTCATCCCACTCGGTTGAAGGGACCCAGTCAGAGCCATCCCTGGGCAGCTTCTGGGCCCACAGGGTCAGGTGATGAGCACCGTACTATTTCCAGACTCATTTATACTGTGGAGGAGGAAGAGGAACTATAGAGCAAAACTTGCCTCCCTTGAATGACCTTGGGAAAGTCGCCTCAAGCTCCTCATCTGCAGAATGGGATGACATTAATGAGGGGGGAGGGGTGTGCTTCAAGATCGCACAGGATATCCTCCCTGTGGCCCTGGCTCTGGCGAACAGCCTCCCTGGCTCCCCGCGGAGCTGGCTGTCTTCCCGTCATAAATTAGCACTTGAGCCTCAGGCGGCCTCCCCCGCCCGCAGATTATATATAGTTGTCGCGCCGGGCCGCAGCTGCAGCGCTACCTGCCCTGTCACGCCGCCCCCACCCGGGATGTCCCGCGACGGGGAGAACGGGCAACGCGGAGTGAGTTGCTGACCCGCTGCTTCCCGGTCCGCAGCGCCTGCACTCCGCCCGCGCCGGTTCCCACGCCCGGCCCAGGCGCCTTGGCCGTGAGCCCGCAGCGCTGCGCCGCGGGTTCTAGCGGGTCTCCTCCCCGCCGGTCCCGCGCACCGACGCGGCACCCGGGCTCCCAAATGGGGACTTAGGAAGAAGGCGGAGCTAAGCGCGACGGTCCCCGAAGGGGGTCTGCTAGACCCGCTGAAACCCGGCCGGGCCGGGCCCGGGACTGCGGCAGACCGGCCGGCCCCCCACCCCACCCCCCGCGGCGCACTGACCCGCCAGCAGGGCGTAGAGCAGCTGGGTGCGCGGGTGCTGCCGCAGGCCGCGGAAAGCCGTGTTGGGGATGCGCTCCAAGATGCCGTCGTAGAAGATGCGGCGCGCCGCCTCCTGTTCGGCTGCGCGGAACTCGCGGATGCACACGCCGCGCCCCTCCGGCGGCCCCGCGCCCCCCGTGCCTCCGTGGGGCTGGGGACCCGGTGCGGGTGGGGGCGCGGCGGCCGGCCCGGGCGCGGCGGGCAGCGGGGGCCACATGGCTCCGGCGGCGGCGAGCAGTGTGTCCTTCTTGGCCCCCGGCAGTGCCTCATGGTCGTCCGCAGCCACGATCTTCGTCTCGCAGACCATGTCGGGAGGCCCACAATGCATGCACCCGGCCGGGCGGCGCAGCGCGGGGATGCGGGCCGGCGGCAGTGGGCAGAGCCCGGGCCCAGGGCAAGGGCGCGGCGCCCTCGGACCCGCGGCGGCGGCAGCGGCGGTAGCGGTGGCAGCAGCAGCTCAGGGGCGCAGGGCGGAGGCGGCGGGCGGCCGGGGCGCGCGCAGGGAGCTGCGCCGCATTTTGGAGAAGTATTTATAATGCAGCGGCGCCGGTGCAGTCGAAGCGCCCGGGGTCCCGCAGGGTCCTAGCGTCCACTGCATTGGCTGCCGAGGGTCACCATGTGATCTCGTGGGTGGGAGCTGACACCGCCTCCGCGCCCGCCCGATGGCACACTTGGGCTGCGCAGCGAGCAGACCGCGGGAGCTCGGCGGGGCCGAGCGACGAGAGTGCGAGGAAGCGATCAGGCCAGCGGTCCTTAGTGAGGGCGCGGGCGAGCGGCAGCAGGGGCAGGGCGCTCCGAGAGGCGCTGCGTGGGGGACTTGAGGCTCGCCCAGAGGACAGCGAGTGATGGACGCCTCCCACCCCGCCCCTGAGCACCCGCAAAGCTGTCGCTGCGCTCGGGCCTCCGTGCCTGCAGCAACGCGCCCTCCTCCTCCGCGGCCGGCCGCTGGCAGCAGTCACGGAAGTGTCTCCATCTCCCACCCCTTTGTCTGAACGCGGCTCCTGGCCGAAGTCCTCGGGAGGGGCACCATGCTCCCCTGGCTGGAGCCCTGCGAGCCTGAGGCCAGGACCGAAAGGACTGAGGGAGTGAGGACACGGCTGAAGTGGGGTATGATGCCCGCGCGCTTGACGCAGGGCCGCACCCCACCCCACTCCAATCTGACACCCGACGCTCCAGGCAGCAGGCATGCGGAATTGCAGGACCCCTCCCGGCTGCCCCCACCCCCGCGCGCGTCTTCCGCGGCCCGCGCATGCGCCCCGTGGCTTTGGTGCAGGTGCAGCGGGGGCTCGCGCCTGAACCTTGTCTTACGGTCCCTAGGAGCAAGACGTGCAGACGCAGCAGACTAGGCACGCCGTGGGGTGGGGGCCAGTAACCAGGTTGGGAAACACATCGTGGCATATTCTCTTAACTTGGTCACAGGGATGGGCCCCCCCAAACTGAATTCACCCGCATGCTCGCGGACACTCTGACTTCCCTAGGCCTAAGGACCCTCAAACTGCGTGGTGCCACACCAGAGTTAGAGCCATCAGAGTGGCCATGGTCACCTAGAGGATGAAGGGGCCTGGGAGGAGGATGTGGAGAATCTACCACCCAGGGTCCTCAGCGCAAGGATGCTAAGGAGAGGGCCAGGCTAAGGAGGATGTCCTTCAATGGGTTTTCAAAACATGGGCATATCTGGGTCCCGGCTATGACCTTCCAAAATACTGAAGCTAAACATCAAAAATGTCAAGGGAACTCACTGATGGTACCTGAACAAGTTGAGACCCCTGGCCAGCCACATTGGCCTCTTCTGGGTCCTGAGGTTGACCAGGTGGTGTGCAGGAACTGTATCGGCCCTGTGAAGGCATTCAGGTGAGGGCCTGGTAGAAGGAGAGTGTGGGCATTGAGGAGACATCAGGTGAAGCCAAGTAGGTCTGACTCAGGACCCTAGGCTTGAGAATCCCTGAGGACCCTGAAGCCTCGCCAGGCCCAGGGGCTAAGGTTCACATCAGCGCGACCTTGATGGGCCCTCCCTGTGCTGCAGAGGTCCCTTCCCTTGGTCGGCCTGACCACACCCTTCAGTGCCCCAAACCTACTGGCACCACATATATGCCGCCTGGTGGCCAGGGTGGAGGCCTGTGCTGTGGTCAACTGGAACACACCAGAACCTTCTGGAAGTGTAGAGGGGCCAGAACTGGAGTTCAGGCACAGCCACTTAGAAGGGCTTTGAGTTGCGAAGACAACAGGGCGGTCAGTGGCCTTGGTTAGCCTGGTTCCTCCTCCCTGTCGTGGAGCGCCCTCTGCCGGTATCTCTTAGGTCATTCCCGGGTGGCGTCAAGGTCCTTCCCGATAAAGACCCAGCAGGGAAATACCTCTCCTGAACTCCCCACGCAAGCCTACTCAGCCTCTGCCTGGGTCTCCAGGAAGACTCTGGAGGGCAAATTAGCTTCCTTAGGCCCTGCTGCTGAATTCTCTTTCCAGGAGCCCAGAAGTGCCTGCCTACAGCTCGGCAGGGGTGATGACCTCTGCCCAAATTTCAGAGACAGAGACACTTACAACATTTGCGGGCACGGATGTCTCCTTAATAGGGCAGTAGGCTCTCCACCCAAGGTGTGCCCTCTAATGATGTTGGGGACAGAGGACTTATCCTTGCCTGGCATGGATACTCCAGGGTCTATGGGGCAATAAAAATGTAGAGGAAAGGAGAAGGCACTGGAAAGACACACAGCCAAGGTAGTCCTGGGAGATGGCCTGGGCTGGCTCCTGAAGGGTATAAGCTGCGGGGGGGAGGGCACAGGAGCTTTTAAGAGAGAAGAACCCCCCCCCAAAAAAAAGAAAAGAAAACCACAGAGCAGAAAAGCAAGCCCAGATCGCCACTAACAGATGTCACCAAAATGGGAATTCAGCAATGACATCTCCAGGTCAGAGGTCCTGGAGAGGCAGACTCAACCTAAGTGCAAAAACAGGCCTCCAGACAACCTTAGAAAGACCGCCCTAGAGCTTATGCGCTGCTTTTTGTTTGTTTGTTTTGTTTTTGCTTTTTGAGACAGGGTTTCTCTGTGGCTTGGGAAGCTGTCCTGGAACTCACAGAGATTCACCTGCCTCTGCCTCCCGAGTGCTGGGATTAAAGGTGCGTCCACCAAAGCCCTGCTTCTCTGCCGCTCTAAGAGCCATCTGCTGCAGGCACAGGGCGCTACCATGCCCACCCTGTCACTCATCCTCTAAGCACAGACTCAGAGTCCCCACCCTGTGTTGGGCCTGGCCAATTCCATCACACTCAGCCTTCGGCTAGGATGAGGAAATATGTTAACAATACAATCCCAGGCATGGTGGCATATAACTTTCATCCCATCATTCAGGAGGAAAAGGCAGGCTAGCTTGGTCCATAGAGTTCCAGATCAGCCAGGGCTACACTGATAAACCTTGTCACAAAAACAAGCAAGCAAAGCAAAGAAAAAACAGTCTCATTCCCCTTAGAAGCCAACTCTAGCTTTGTTTAGGAAAAAAAAAAAAAAAAGGAGGCAGACAGGCACCATGGTTCTAGCACTTGAGATGTAGAAAGATCAGGAGTTCAAGGCTATCCTTAACTACACAGCAAGTAGGTGGCCAGCCAGAGCTACATGAGACCCTGCCTCAACAAAAGGTTAAGGGCTGAATTGTGAAGCAGGGTCACAGAGGCCAAAAAAAGAGAAAAGTATATGCAAAGCCTTAGAGATGGGAGGGTTACATTACAAATGGAGTGTCTCAACAAAAATTATTTTCAGGCAGACTGACTCAGTTTCCCTCCTGAACACCTTCCTACACAGGTCTAGAAAAAAAGGTGACTCTGCCTGAAATGTAGGTAGTGCTGTAATGGTGACTTGGGTACCAGAACCCTAGCTAGGGGTAGCGAGAGAATGAAGGCAGGGCAGTTACACAGACACATGTGCAGTGGAGCTGGGGTCGGGTGGGTTGTTCATCACTCCCCCTGGAACCTCAATGTGTTTATGAGGTGTCTGCGGGTCATAAGTCCCAGGCTACAAGTATAGCCAGAAAGAAGAAGCTGTGGCTGCTAGTTTTTGCACACATCCATTAATAATTATAAACACTCACACATAAATTCTATAGATCCACTCAGGAACCCTCTGCTCCCTAGAGGGCAGCCAGTGTGGGAATGCACAACGGTCTGGGAACAGGAACAGAAGTCCAGGCAAATATGGGGCTTGGGCTCAGGCTGGATAATAAGCAGGCAAAAAGGCCAATTAGTCCAACACTAAATCCAGGAAAATGAAAGGCATCTTAAAATGCATGCCATGTGCTTGGCTGTGTGCTGAGCTGGGTTTAGTCATTTTCCATGCCATAGTGAGCCAATGACAAACAGGAGAGCTGCTCTGGGGCTCTGGCCATTGGCCTTATGAAAATTTAAACTTGCCAGGTGCATACCTCCATCTCTGCTCCTTCCAAGAAACCCAAGTCAAGCTTACCCACTTAGACTATCTTTGATCAAGATCACCAATGGCCAAAAATTCCAAACCTGTTGGTAGCCTTGGTGTTTGCTTAACCTCAGCAGCATGAGGCATGCCCCCCTTATTCTCCCTAGAGCCCTCAGCACACCACCCGGAACATGCTTCAGCCTTCCTCCTGCTTCATGGCTGCTCCTTCCTACTGTGAGGTCCTGCACCCTATCCGTCTCCTGTCTTCTCAGCTCCTCTCTCCTGTCCACACTCAGACACAGAGAACTCAGTAGTGTAACTGTCCCTTCCTTCTTTCTCTGGTGCTTGTCCAGGTATACCTTACAGCTGCAAAGACTGGCTGTCACCAAATCCTCCTGGCTGTTTTTAATTTTCATTTACTTGACTTTTTTTTTGGGGGGGTGGCTTTGTTTTGAGACAGGTCTCTCTACAAAGCCCTGGCTGTCCTATAACTCACTATGTAGAGCAAGCTGGTATGGTGATATTTTGTTTATGATCTGATAAATAAAGCTTGCCTTAAGATCAAAGTGCAAAGCTAGCCATACTAGTTAGCCATAGAGGGAGGCAGTGGCGGTACACACCTTTAACCCCAGCACTTGGGAGACAGGGCAGACAGATCTCTGTTAGTTCAAGGCCACTCTGGGCTACATGAAATCGATCAAGTCTGAAAGAGAAACAGAGATCACACAGAGGTGATCCCAGCACTTGGAGGACATGCCCTTAATCCCAGCAGTAAGGAGGTGGAGACTGGAAGGGATATGGCTGGCCAGAGAGGGGAATGTAAAGTGGGAGGAGACAGGAGCTCTTGGCAGTCTGAAGCAAGTAGTCTGAGGACAGGATCGCCCCTTGGTCTGAGCACTGGTAGAAATAAGAACTCTCTAGTAGCTGGCCACTTGGCTTCTCTATCTTTCTGCTTTCATCCGGATAGCTGACTCAGAGTTTTTATTGTTAAGACGAAAGAGCATTTGTGCTACAAGTTGGCCTTGAACTCAGAGACCTGCCGCCCTCCCCTGAGTGCATGGACTAAAGCTATGTGTCACTAAGCCCACTTCTGTTTTCAAATACACATGGAATCCAACCACTTCACATGCTGCCACTGCCCAGCAGTCTCCATCCGCGGTGGGTGAATCATATCCCCGAGGGCCCATACTGTCTTCCAGAGTCGTCTAGCATCTCTGGCAACCACAAGTACTCTGCTCATGCAGACCTAGATTCTGCCACCTCAAAACCTAGTAAGGCCAGGGAGAGACCTCAGTGGGTAAAGTGCCTGCCAAGCTGATCCAACGCCTGGATTCCCCCTGCTATCTCCCCAGCTGTCTTCTGTGCACATGCGTGTCCATGCACATGCGTGTCCATGCACACAGTTTTAAAGAGGCTCCAAGGAGCCTCACCCGCCAAGCTTCCTTCCTCAGCTTCCTGCAGCCCCCAGACTCCGGCATGATGGGCTGGAACAAACCTACCGACCTCCAGACCCCTCCACCCTACCTTCCTGGCTGATACCCCTACTTTTTTCTATAGGCATGTCCCAAAGAGGACCCTACACCATACTTTCTTGGCAATTTGTATCAAAGGCTAATAATATCCATAAAACAGTTAATCTTGAATTTAGGGTAAACAATACTTTTAGTGTAAGTAGAAACCCTAAAAAAGTGTTTCTGTATTCAAATGCTAAATCTGGCAGTCTACACTTAGAACAAAACTTGTGTGACACACTTCTGGTCTCTCCTGCAACTTCGGAATGGCCAGGAGTTTAACCAAACAATGGGACAGGAGTATACTTCTACCTCCTTTGCTCAGGGTGAACCCAGAACAGAAACCCGGCTGTGCAGCACACCTGGACTGTGGTCTCAGCATCCTCTAACACCCTCCATGAAGGGTTGAGGCTTTAGCTCTTTGTGGAGCATGGCACTAATCAAGGAACCAATGCCCCAGATAGGGCAGTGTTGCACCTGGGTGAAGCAGTCACTCAGCCTCAGCCCTGTTGTGCTCCTGGAGCTGTTTCCAACAGTGTGAGTGCATGTCCTACCTTGATAAGAAAAAAAAATCTTTAATTTCACTTGCACAAACTTTCCAATAAAAGCAGAGTGCTGTCCTCACTTTGCTGGGGTTTTGCCTGCAAGGCAGTTAGCCCATGTGTGCAGACATGCGAGGGGCCATTAACTCCCATATAGACAGACATCCTTGGTACCCAGGGGCCAAGCTTGGGTCTGCACATGGACCCACCCACCTTCTCCCTCCTGGAAAGGGCATTTACCCATTGCCTGTTGCCCACTGCCTCTCCAGAAGCCCCAGGTTAGGGTCTCAGAGCTCAGCTTCCACAGAACCATGCCCAACCCCGCACAGAGAGGCTTTGGGGAACTCAGAGTGGGAAGGCCATTGTCAAGATCCCCTGGCCTCCAAACTAGGGCAGGCTGGCTGGGACAGGTCTGGGAATATCCACTGCCTGTAGGGCAAGTGTACCTCATCAGGGGTGATGCTGTGGGACAGTGCCAAACAGTACCCCACCGTAACCTGTGACAGGGCAACCAAGACCCAGAGGGGCTTACAACAGGGCAACAACATGGGTGGCTCTCTGACAGCCAGAGCAGGGACACAGGACACAGGCATGCTAGCAGGCATTTATTGACAGGGAATGTCACTGGATAAGGATCTTCAGCGTCCAGCTGGCCAGCAGGCACACAGAGCCCGGCGCTCAGCCTGCAGCAGAAGGGTCTCAGTCTGCAAAGGAACCAGAACCATGAAGATGGGACAGAGGTTCTCAATGCACACCTTCCCAGGCCTTCCTGGCCTCCTCACTTTGCCCCTTAGGTGCCTTATCACCCCATTTCCTCCAGAGCAGCTCCCATTGCTGGGGTCTCTCCTTATACCCATTCCCACTGCAGCCATCTTTCAGCTCACACCCATCACTCAAAGCTCCTCCACCATGCACACCCACTCCCCAACCCACAAGAGGAGTAGAGGCCTCACTGGGGAGAGAGTCCTCCTGACTATCCCAAAAGGGATGAGTCCAGAAAAGGTCTTCCCTTCCTCCTACTCCCAGGAATTCTCTTTACAAAGGCCAACTCCCCTGGGCTGGAGAGATACAAGTTCACCCAATCTGTGAAGCCCTGAGACTCCAGGACACACCCAGATCTCTGGTCCTACCAGCTTTCCACTCTTCACAAGCCATAGCCTCCATGCCCAGCCTCCGTCTCTTCTTCCTACTCTGACCTCATCTCTCACGGAAAACCCTTGTTTAGTACCACACATCCCTGGAGTACACTATTTACCACAAATCCCGGGACCAAGTGCCCTGAGGCCTTGGCAGAGGTTACACAGTGCGCTGGGCATGGAGGGCGTTTTCAGGTGAGATCTGGTCCCAGACCCTTATAGTGGCTCGGTCTTGGGATGCTTACAGACCAAACCCCGACCTCCCTGACCTTGTGTACTCACCCGCGCGTCCAGGCTGTAGGCCGTTTTCCGTAGGTCCTGAAGGGCGCGCTGCATGAATTCAAATGCGTGGCAGTCCACACACGGGCGGCCTACGGGGACGAGGGATCCGAGTCTCGTGAGGTTGAACACACCGAACCCCAGCCAGGCCCCAGCCGAGCGCCCAGCGGTGTCCCAACCCCTGTCGCCCGCCCTCCAGCTTCCACCCAACAAGTGACCGCGCAGGAAACAAAGACGCCTCCCGCACGCCCCCTCCGCGGGCACCTACTCTGCGCGGGGACAGCGCTCCCGGCGGCAGGCTCGGCGCGGGCGCCCAGCGGCGCCAGGCTCAGCAGCAACAGCCACAGCAGCAACGTCGGCGGCGACAGCAAGGACCTGGGCGCGGGGGCCATGGCCGAGGAGGGAGCCCGGGGCCGCCCTGCAGCGAGCAGCGCAGCGCGGTCAGTGACACCGCCGCACCCGAGCCGGTCCACAGGCGCCGCCGCCGGCCCCGCCCACCCCCGGCCCGCGACCCACAGCCCAGCCCGACCCACGCGTCCCGCGAACTCGGGTGCGCTTAGCCTGGTCCCACCCTTCCCGGGGCCCCGCGGACCCCACCCCGACCCTCACCGCGGTTCACGGAACCGCGACCAGCAGCGCGGGCGACTCGGAAAGACGCCCCGTGACCTGCTCGCGCGCGCATGCGTCCAGGCCGACCCCGCCCGGGTCCCCGACGTCGTCGTCATGGAAACACCGCGGCCGCGCGCTCCCCCCCCCCCAGCGCGGGATGCTCCCACTCGGCGCGAGGCTTCTCATCGGACCCGCGCAGGAACGGATCCCGTCTCCCGGCGCCTGTCGCGGCCTCCCCATTCTGGCCGCGCGCGCTCAGCACCTGCGCCCTGGGCGCTGTTTCTCCACGGGGATCAGTTGCTGGCTGCCGCCGAATTCGATGTCCGTCTCCCCGGGACCTACGCGTGTGGGAGGCCAGCGTGAGAACCAGTCTAGGACCGGCCCGGCCGGGAACGCAGCAGCGAGCGCAGGTTGAATGAGTGCACTTCCCTGAGTGTTCTGACTGGAGTTTTGGAACCTCGCGTTGGGTGCGGGCGAGCCCGCAGTCAGGAGAGGGCCTGGGGCGCCACACTACACTGGTTTGTCTCTGTAGTGCCCTGCCCCTCTGTCAGGGTGTCAAGGAGGGGAGCTCTCCCTTGGAAAGCAAGGCTCTGGTTAGACTTGCATCTTGCGGAATTGGCCTAAGTGAGCATTGTAGTGGGGTTTCATTCCAGCATCTAAGCAAGCTGACCATGACCATGAGCTATGCTGGAGAGTCCAGGTCAGTCATTTGCTCCTTCCCACCCAAGCATACTACATACTCTCTTGAGAAAACCCGCTGAGATTTCTATTCATACCACGCAAAAGTGACCTCAAAGGTCACCAGCACTGTGCTCTTAAAGGGAAGACTAGTTTATTATCAGCCAGGAGAGTTACCAAGGCTGGGAATGCAGATGCCAGACAAACTGGCGCTGCATATGGCAGGCGTGGTCTCTTCTATAAATTTCAAATGTTATCTGGTGGCACTGGTTTTGTAGTTGAGTGACATTGGTGATACATTCTGGGGCTCAGTCAGAAAGACAAGGCAGGGTAACTAATAAAGGACTCAAGCCTGAGATTGTTTCAGCTCTTGGTCTCCAGTCACCACCAGGCTCCATGAAGCAGTCTCGTCAGTTCACACAAACCTGTCGGCTCCTCTTTTCTCTCTGACTCCCTCTCTGTCCTCCCACAGCACCCCACCCCCTTCAGCTGCCCCCTTGGGGCCAGCAACCAACAATCCTTTCTTCACCCTCAGAGTTTTGAAGCTGTCTGAGTCTCTGTCCATCTGACCCTACTTTCTCCAGAGACCCTGGCCAGCTGAGCAGCCACGCCCCCATCCCTTGCACACCTGGACTTGAAGAGCTTTTGAATTCTTCATATTTAATGTATGAGTTGGGCACTTTGGAGGTTATATTGTTAATCTGCATCTTAGGTTAAAATATTACATTTTTAACCTAAGCATTTTTGCCAGCTGGGCATATAGCTCAATGGTAGAGCACTTGCCTACCATGTGTGAGCCCTGGGTTCAATCCCCCATACCAGAAGGAAGGAGGGAAAAGGGAACAAAGACATACCCCTTTTCTTTAACTAACCTTTATGACATGTGATCCAGAGTCAGCAGACTCAGGCAGGAGGGTCCGCTCAATATATAAAGCAAGTTCTAGGACAACCTAGTGAGAACCCAATCTTCTCTCCCCCAAAAATAAATTTGGTATACTTTTTGTTTGGTTTTTTCAAAGTAATTTATTCTTATTTTATGTATATTGGTGTTTTGCCTATATGTATGTCTGTGTGAGGCTGTCAGATCTTGGAGCTACAGACAGTTGTGAGTTGCCATGTGGGTGATGGGAACTGAACCAGGGTCCTCTGGAAGAGGAGTCAGTGCCTTTAACTGCTGAACCATCTCTTCAGACCCTAAAAAAATATGGAACGCTTCACAAATTTGCGTGCCATCCTTGTGAATCTGCTAATCTCCATATCATTCCAATTTTAGTATGTGTGCTGCTGAAGTGAGCACGTAGTTTTGTTTTTCAAGACAGGGTTTCTCTGTGTGCAGCCCTAGCTGTCCTGAAACTCACTCTGTAGACTAAGCTGGTCTTGAACTCAAATCCGCCTACCTCTGCCTCCCAAGTGCTGGGACTAAAGGTGTGTACTACCACAGCCTACCTGTTATACTTTTTTATCCAAAGAAATTTTCTTTTGCAAGCGAGGTTATAAGTGGTCTGTGAGGTGCATGTATGGAATGCTGGTAAAATAAAAATTTAAGACATCGGTCCAAAGGCTGTTCTTCCAGAGGACCCAGGTTCAATTCCCAGCATCCACATGGCAGCTCACAACTGTAACTCCAGTTCCAGGGAACCCAAAAACCTCCCATAGACATATGGGCAGGGAAGCCAATAGAAATGAATTCAAAATTTTAGCCAGGCTGTGGTGACACATGCCTTTAATCGAAGCATTTGTGAGGCATAGGCAGGATGATCTCTGTAAATTCAAAAAACAAGAGAGATAACTGTTTGCCATGTGTGGTGATTTGAATAGGAATGTCCCTCATAAACTCAGACATTTGAACGCTCGGGTTAGGGGTTAGGAGGTGTGGCCTTATTGAAGGAAGCGAGTCGCTGGAGGTGGGCTTTGAAGCCAGCCCCAGGGTTTTTCTCTTGCTGCAGCCCCCAGGTCCAGATGTAGAACTCAGCTTTTTCTCCAGCACCGTGTCTGCCTGCATGCCGCCATGCTCCCTGCCGTGATGACAAGGGACTAACTATAAGCAAGCCCCAATTAAATGCTTTTTCTTATAAGAGTTCTCTTGGTCCTGGTGTCTCTTCACAACAATAAAATGATGACTGAGACACCATGAAAGCCTGTCTACCTGAGTTCAAACTCTAGAACCTATGGTGGAAGGAGAGAACCTGTTCCAGGTTATTTGATCATACCTTGAATGCTGAGTTTGCTTTAATTAAATAAAATCTTGGGTCAAGAGGCAGAGCCAGCAACTAGTTGACAGGAAGTAGTCGTAGAGAGTTAGAGTGAGTCTGGAAACGGGATGGAGAAACCTATAGGAAGTAGTAGGGAGGGGCTTTGGTTTGGAATAGTGGAAGTGAGCTCTCTTGCCAGGTCACTGTAAGGAGGAAGGGTGCTTCTCAGTCTCTCTGACCAGCAGGTTTTCATCCCAGAATCTGATTTACTCCTGAGTAAATGTATTGGTAAAATAGGGCAATAGAGACTTAGTTAAAAACTGCATTTGGTCCAGGCAGTGGTGGCTTACATCTTTAATCCCAGCACTAGGGAGGCAGAGGCAGTGTATCTCTGTGAGTTCAAGACTAGCCTGGCCTACACAGCAAGTTCAAAGACAGGCTCCAAATCTAAAGAGATAAACCATCTTGAAAAAACAAACAAACAAAAACCAAAACATTTAGTTAAAACAGACAAATAAAAAGCTCCATTTGACTGAAGCAGCAGAGAGGGTCCCACTGAAGTCCCACTGTGTCCCTTGCGCTGTGGTGCAGAGATTGCTGAGTCGCAGTCAGCAGCGGAAACAGCAGAAGATTCAGGTGCAGTCACTGTTCTGATGATAAAACAAGAACCGGCTCCAGAAAGTGCCCTCTGACCTCTCATGCATGCACATGCCTACACTCATGTACACACACCATACATTCCTCTGTACCATAGTAAAAACTTCTAATCAATTTAAGGACAAACATACCATGACTCTGTCACTAGAGGTCCCAGAGTCCCCACACTCATAGAGGCAAGAAAGTAGATGGTGGGCGCCAAGGGTCATGTAGAGAGGAAGTAGCTGTGTCTGGGAAGATGGCAGCTCTGGATGCAGAGATGGTGATGTTTGCACTTGATGCCACAGAACCAGATAGTGGGAAAGGCAAATATATATCATGTACATTTGCCATATGTTTTAAAATTCTGTGTTGTAGAGACTGCATTTCAGCTGAGTGGGATGGCCAAAGGCCCTGGAGAGGGGACAGTCCAGAGCCTCCCAGACGCTACATCTGAAGGCTGAAGAGCATGGCACTAATGTCCTGGTAAGTCACCCTGGTGTGTGTGTGTGACAACACAGCAGAGAAGCCAGCCTGATGTATACAGAAGAAACAAGCACAAACTTCGGTCTCCCATGAGGTCTCACCCAGGCCTCACACTACCGACCTAATCTGTAATGAGGTCTGGTGCCCTCTTCTGGCCTGCAGGCAGAATACATAATAAAATAAATCTTCAAAAAACCTGAAAGTTTACCACATCCAGGACCTCAATCAGGACTGGGTCTCCAGTACATGGACTGTTGGAGGATGCCAAGCCATGTCCACACCACAGCAGGCCTATGTGGAAAGGATGGGAAACCTTCAAATACAGCCCCTTCATCTTTTTTGTTTCTAGACAGGATCTCACTATGTAGTCTCCTGGCTGGCCTGGAACTTATGTCTGCATCTGTCTCTCCAAGTGCACGGTAAGTACTGCCATGCCCCAATTTCTCACATTTTATGGGATAAGCTGAGAGTTGTGTCCATTAGTTCTCAATGCCTGGGGGTTGGGGTTGAGGAGGGATTGGTAGGAGACATAGTTTGGCTCTCAGGTATCTAGGACATGCAGGGTTGTCATGGAATCTCTAGGGACTGAGTGTGGGTAGGGGGCAACCTGCTTAAAGAGGTGCCCATAGTGAGATAAGGGTGTGGTGGCAGAGGCTTGCCATTCTACGCTCCTTCGGGAAGCTGTCCTTTGGGCTATTGGCTGTGCCTGCCCGGCTGCAGAATGTGATGTGTAATCTGTGAAGCATGCTCCTGTGGTACCCAGGGAGCTCTGGAAAGGGGTCTTGCCTGAGAAGGAAAGCCAGCAGCCTTCCTTGCTCACTGAGGCCTCTGTTTCTCTAGGCTAGGTGAGATTTGGGGCATCTGCTTTGGGGACCCCAGTGAAGCCAGATCAACTGCTAGGTCTGCTAGGTACTTGTTTTGAGCTCTGCCAGGGACTGGAACCCTTAACTTTTAACATAGAGTTCAAGTGCCTACACAGCACACACACACACACACACACACACACACACACACACACACACACACACCTTGCCCCAGCTGTCTTGGGATCTTGTCCCACCACCTCTGTGGATCAACTTTCCCAGAAGGGGTCTGTTTCGTCAGTGGAGACTACTTAGCAACACAGTTTGGCAGGAATTGGGGGCTGGAG